TTTACCAGGCAGAGAAAAGTGATAATGTCACAATAGAGTGGCACTTTGCATTTCAAACCATCATTAACGTCTCTTCCCTTAAGATCCACTGTGTTCAGTTACCTGAGCTGAACGTTTTTTATCATCTGGACAACAGCGTCATTGAAGCCCAACATGAGCAGTTTGCTGGTCGGGTTCAGTGTGATATAGTGGCACTGAAAGCAGGATTGGTCAGGCTGCACCTGGTTCAAGTCAGGACTGAAGACTCGGCGGTGTACCTCTGCAGAATGGCCTCTGGATATGGAAGGAGGCTTCAATGGTTTACATTAGATATCAATTGTAAGTATTTGCTCACATAAAACAAGTTTCTGATATATTACCAAAACATCTAAAAAAACGGAAACAGACACTGTAATATAACAAGGCATGGTGGGAATTTTGCTAACCATATCTAATGGCCAATATTGTTTTGCATCCTGTTGAAGAGGTTTTGTAAAGTCTGGTAATATGATTATTTAGAGTAGCACATTATTGTCTCTCCCCTGTAGAGTTCCTTGGATTAACTTAGACCTTTTCATGGTTCTAGATTTTTTCTAACAACCTGATAACAGACAGAGAGAGAGACAATGTCAATGATCCAAGATATGGTAAAACTGTCAAGTCTGATTAAAGTAAATATAGATAAAAACAGATAAAAACAGAACCACTGCAGCGGTGTACATCCTGTGCTCTTGTCTTGACTTTTAACTTTTTTTTTAAGCTTTAGCTTTTTTTTTTTTTTCTTTTAGACTTTTAACACCAAAGAACAATTAGATCAATGATAATTTTTTCCCCAATTTTTACTGACGTGCATGACATATTGTTGTTCTCTACAGCCACAAGGGAGCAGATAGGTCCGACACAGCGACCAGAAGCAGTGAAGCGAAGAAGAATAATTTTTTACATTGGACTGGGACTGCTCACTGTGGCTTCAGCTCTACTGGCAGTTTGTGTTTTTTTTATAAAGCATCACACCCTAGGCTGTCTGAAGTGAAGAACCTACAGAAGCAGGCTCTAATTCACTGTTAATGGTACTGTTTTACTTTCTGCTGTTTCTAGAGAGAATTCATGAAAACAGAAGTGAATATGACTATACCATACTAGTACTATCAAAACATCTTTAGAAACAGAAACACACAGGGTTTTGTGATAATTTATTAAGTTCTGAGATCCTAAATTATTGGTCAGTTTTTGGCAGTTTAAGAAAAATAAGGCAGGCCATGCAATATTTAGACTCTATAAGATTTGTGACGTTTCAAGGTTTTGTCTTATAATGCTGGAAATGGAGAATTTTTGCATGCTCTGGAGGTAAGAGATGCTCAGTTCCATAAATGTAAAGGCACAGAAAATGAAACAGAGGCATGCAAACTTGAAAACACAGTAAGAAAACTAATTTATTGGAAAATTCTGTAAAAAAAAAAAAAAAAAAAAAAAAAAAAAAAAGTATAATATTGTAAAATAAACTCGAACTGCAAAAGAAATCTCTGTAAATGCCAAAATCTGCGGTAAGTTTAAAAAAATCAAAAAGGTGCAAACCTGTTACACAAACCAATGTGCACCAGACCAGTAGGGGGCGTGAATCACAACGTCTTATGGGACAAGACTCTAATGCCAAGGAAAGATTTTCTGCAAGCAGCCTACTTTTTCCTTTTTTTTCTTCTTTTTTTTAATCTTTTCTATCGTCATAGTTCATCATGATCTTTCTGCAGGAATTATTTTGTTTGTTGCTTATTTTAATGTAACTCCGGTGTCTTTCTTTTGGTTTTTAATGTTGGGGGCTAGGTGTTTATGGTAGAATTTAACCTTTTAATTTTCAATACAATGTATGATTACATAGATGTGTTTGCTTATTTTGTTTGCTAAAAAATACTAATGTAAAATTACTTTACCTGTTTTTAAAATCTAACTTAAAAAAAACACTAAAGAGAGTACTACAGCTAATCAAATAACCCTATTGTGGGTGATTTTCATTTTGGTTCAATTCACGTTTTGTTGAATTAACTACAGTATATCTACTCCAATGTAAAAAGTTTGCAGAAAATAAATGATTTGCCTTTTTCTTCTGCTGCTTCATCCTGTCTCTGACTATGTACCTGTTGGACGAATCTTCCCATTTAAAAATAGTTTCTTCTTCATGGTTGCCCTATGCTTTACTGACACAAAGGAGTGCATCAAACAAAGGTTCTGATAAAATCACCAGTTTTTCCTAAACCTTTTTTATAAATTAGATTCCATTATGAACTTAGATTAACTTCACTGTAGAATCACTGGATAAACTCAATTGTTTGTTCCTGAAATTGAATTAAACTTGATTCAGTTAAAATTAAATTGGGTTATTCTAGATAGATTCTAACATTGAAGAGATAAATATTTCTCTGCTCTATATGGTAAATGACCTGTAACATAGATTGCACCTTTTAATAAGCCATTTTGCTTCTCATCCATTCACAGTTAGCTTAAACTGCCCTGAGGTGCACAGAACCGTTTGTTCACTGATTGGACAAGATCAATGCAGGGTGTCATCATAGTTCAGGGACGCATACTGTACCATTCATGCTTTCGACTGTTAAATATAAAAACACATGTCTACATGTACATACATACATGCTTTCTAGTTTTAATAACAAGAGACTGTCAGTCAGATGCATTACATGAACTTCCTCTCACTGCCCACCAGAAAATCCTGCTGTGTACCCTTTGGCTTCTTAAGAAGCAAGTCCACCTGCCTAACAAAAGGAGGCATTAGTTTTATCAGCTAGTGGAAAGTAGCAACGATAAAGCAAATGATACATACATAAAAAAAATTATCTTTCTTGCCAACTTCTCCATAACATAATTTGTGTAACATGATGATGATACTTTTTTTTATTTTAGACAGACATCTCACCAGCAAAACATAAAAACAATAAATAGTTTCATGTTTCTAAGTGTAAATATAATACTACCTACTACTTACTATCAAATTTACATTCTCAAGTACATGATAAGGAGTATATTGAAGGTTAACATATATAATCATTCCCCTTTTCCATTTATTAATTCATAGTATACATTTTCTCCTTGTTTCCAGTATCCTTTCCAAAAGGAGGGTGAACAAATAACGTTAATAATAAAAACTGTATTTATATTTCCTGAACCAGATGAAAATACTACCTACTTCCATAAATATATATACATATGTATCTACCTGCATATATACATAAATATTATATACCTATTTAAATATATTATATACCTATTTACACGCCCACACATATTTACACACTCTTACACAAACCTGCACCCAATTTCCCAAGTCATCCCCAGTGCTGTAGTTCCCAGCCAAATTTATCACCCCTTTTCATCCTTATACCTTTGAATACTAACCATTTTAAATCTTTTCTTAAAATACCTCACACCTGGACTTTGCTTAAGCTCTTTAGTGAGTTTATTCCAGATTAACTCCAATGATAGAAATGCACATTATTTTCATTGTTATTCTATAGTCATATCCCTCCACATGTTAACCTATAATAGTTTTGGTTATAAAACTTTATTTCATTTTTAACAAAGCTGTTTAAAAATACAATTTCTCCACACAGAAAAAAGTATGTGTACCAAATTTTTCATCATCATGCAAACAAAAATTATATTTATAAACTTCTGTTTGAGGCTCAGTTTTCATTTAGTTCTCACACTTTCTCAAAAATGCAAAAATTGGCCCAAGTTACAAATAGATGAGAAACAATATTCTAAGCTCCAAATACATATGATTAGTTTGTAAAAAAAGATAATCAATACAAACAGGTTTCCCCAGTACCATATCACACATGTATACCTACATAGCCAATTTAGTGATGGATAATACGTCTCGTAGCTGGAAGTTTTAATAGTTGGAAAGAGAAAACCATATATTTAAAACCTGCTGACAAAACATTTCAATACTTTATTATTTAAGGTTTGCAGCGTCGTGATTGATTATATGCCGGTATGGTTTGTACTGGAAAATGTACAGGAAAGCATTTACTTGTTATCTTATTATAAGCCACAGTTACATATTGATAATAACTTATGGCCAGCAAAAATGATGTGCTACTTGTAAATAAATTGCCTGTCTGCCACCAGCCAAAGCCATTGCAGATCTGAAGAATATGGATTTCATCTCCTGTCTTCATAAAGGACTGAATAGGTCGGTTACAGAATCTCATTTGCTGCAAATATGCAAAGAGGTTGTCTTTCAGATGACTCATGCTGATTTTTTCTGAGACAAGCATAAATAATGCAACATGAAAGCAAAACTATAAGAAGAAGAGAAAATACTATAGAATATAATCCAATCATTCCCTGATTTTCAGTTGGAGGGCTGACAGTTGTTAACTGAGGCACAGATGAAAGAGGCTCTGTAGTGAAGGACAGGAGAAAAACATTTTAAATGTCCAAATAAAACAGGAACTGTTTATTTTTTACATTTATTACAGTATACCTACTTACCAGTAACATTAAGAGTAAATTTGCCCTTGCCGAGGCAACAGCCTATTTGCAGTTTACAGGCATATTCTCCAGAGTCTTCAGTCCTCAGTCTGGATACATGGATACTGATTCGTCCTTCTCTGAGGACGTCTTTGTCACTCTGGACTCGTCCTGAAAACTGTTCATCCTGAGATTCTGACACCTCAACACCATCATGGAGCACATACTCATATAACAATGTCTGTTTCAGAATCAATAGACAATAAATGACTAAATATATGTTCTTTTGGGGGCAGACCGGTTTGGTCTCGAAGGTCAAATCAAATGTGATGTTGTTGTTCTTCTCTCCATGATAGATTGTGTCTGTTGCTTTCACTTCTATTGGTTCTAGATGTAAATAAAAGTTACAGAGAATCAGGCCCTATAAAAAGGGGCAATTAAAACTCTTTTGTAATTACAGTATTTTCTTCGGTCTCTTTGGTAAGATTTTACTTACCAACCATCGGAGAAATAAGATCAGTTTCAGCAAATTTGTGCAGTCTTCTATCCTGAGTTTAGAAATAGTTTCATTAGGACTTCTCTGAGTACGGTTTTGTCAAATGAATTCATCTTTCCATCATAATATAGTAAGACTCTATGATCTTTTGGCTTACAACAGTTTATGGTGAAAAAATAAAAAAAAACCTTGAGGAGCTGTATGGTGTGTTGGTCCCCTCCTGCTTGATTTTCTTGTCCCTCTCCCCATGACAGGATCCTGGTCCAGGAGAAAAGGACAAAGTGAGAAACTGAAAGCTGGAGCAGAAAATGTGGCATTGCACTTTCTGGGTGTTCCTGATGGGTTATTTTCCAGTGGCCACGATTAAATATAAAAATTTTAATAGCAATAGGCTCTCGCAGCCTTCGCTGCTTGGGCCTAACTAAAATCATGATATGCAAACTAACCACGGTAGCAGAACAACATCATGAATGGCAGGATAATTTTCCCTGTGAGATAGGGAAGAAAATGTTTAGTTATTACAACAGGAAAGAATTGTCTATTGTCTAACTTAAACTTTAGCTATAGCAAAATATTATTTGGCAATCCTAAGTAAGATACGTCAGTTTTAGCAAAACAAAAAAACAAAAAAAAACTGCTTTTTGCTGGTTAATTTATTTAGTTAGTGCTTAGTTGATAACTAAAATATTCATTTAGCCTAGACTCCCTGACAATAAAGTCGGTTACAAGTCATTAAAACATTTTTCTTAAAGGTACTTTACTTTACTTTTAAAGGTACTTTATGCAACAGAAGTAATTTTTATGTGCAGGTTTTGCATTCCTAAAAAAATATAAATAGTACATGTACTTTTAATCTCATAGATAGATATAATAATTAGATACTATTAAGCAGTTCAACCAAACTCTCAAAAGATACTTACATTTAGAGGCAGGAAAAAAACATTTTAATATCCAAATCATCTGTACACTAACAGTTGTTAAAAAGCCTTCAAACTAAAAAAGAAAATGTTTTGAAAAGAAAGCAGAATTCTGTTTGAGCCTCAGGACGAAGTAGGTTCTGTTTTTACAGGATGTGGAAGTGATCATGTGGTATATGGTCATTTGATAAGGCAGATTTGGCTTTTAAGGATGAGAAACTTGAAATAGATTCGCTTTCGTGTTCTTCAAAAACCTAAATCCACTTGTCACGAGATATCATGTGAGATGACAGTGATTTACTGAAGCACTTATGATGTGTCATGATAATCTGGGAAATGTTTTTCACTGGTGTTGTTGTTGATGTAATCTGTTAGTGTTTGTTTAACATATAAAAGACAATTAAAAAAGAAACACCTAAACTTGAATCAAACAAATGGATGCTGAATTTCTTCGGAAGACCTGTTAAATTTTTAAATAAAAATAAAAAAACTTTGAAAAAACATATTGGAACAAAGCCCCAGCAGTTAAAAATTAATTAATTAATACGAGCTAAAACTGTTAGAAAAATTAACAGAACCTCAACAACAAAGTAAATCCATCTATAAAGGAATAAGTAACATCTGCACCAAATGGTTTGATATGGAATTAATACTATAATATAGTATCTCCATTTCCACATTTAATCTCCATTTTGAATTGTTAGTTTATCCTTAAGCTCAAAGCAAGAATATCCTTAACAACAGACTTTATCAAAGCACCTAAAACATCTTTTCTTAAAATACCTCACGCTTGGACTTTGATTCAGCTCTTTAGTGAGTTTATTCCATATTCACTTCAATGATAGAAATGTACATTCTTTTCAATGTTTTTCTATAGTTATATCCCTCCACTCTATCAGTAACTTTTGTATATTTCCTGGTAATAGTTTTTTTCTAACTTTATGCATAAACTGTGCAGTTTAAAACTCTACTATGTATATATATACATATATATATATATATATATATATATATATATATATATATATATATATATATATATATATATATATATATATATATATATATATATATATATATTTCATTTTAAAAATACGATTTCTCCACACAGAAAATAGTATGTGTATCAAATTTTTCATCATCATGCAAACAAAAAATGTATTTTTAAACTTCTGTTTGAGTTTCAGAATATAACAATCTATAAATAAATTGTTGGTATGATAATAAAAATTAACCTTGTGAACAATTCGAATGGCACATTTGTAATGTACATAATGGTGGAAGTGAAGTTTTGTGAGTGTTGCCGCATATTTCCAGTAATTTAGATATGATATGACAAAATAAGTACATAGTAAAGAATATGAAGGGCAGAGTAGTTAATCAAAGTTCCAGCATTAGAGATAACAACAATACTTCTAGCTTTTTTTTTTTACATATTTAATATGAGGTTTCCAACACATCTTATTATGAATCAATACACCCAAAAACCAAATTTCATCACACTCTCCACAGTCACATTATCAACTATTACATGTAAATCCCTATACCTTTTACAATTCCCAAATATTATAAACTTGTTTTTATCTACATTTACTGATAATTTGTCAATATGAAACCAGTTTTTCAATTTACAGGACTCTAAATTTCTTTCTATCAAAAGCTTCCCATTGTCAGGTTTCCTGTGTGTGTGTTTAGTGCAAGTTGTGCATCTCTACTATAGAGGATCTTTGTGGAGAACTTGGGTAGCCTACACAGGTGAATGTAATCTTGATGATCATAGTATAGTGCTGGTATTAAAAGAGCACCAGAGCCTTCTTTCAGTGCTGGTTCCTTGTGTGTTGTAGATGTTTTTTGTTGCTTCCTAGTCTCATGCTTCCCTTGAGTATTTTTCCTGAAGTTTTTTGGTTTTGTTTGGTTTTCATTATTTTTGTATTTTGGTGTTTTGCCTCTGTTTCCCTTGGCATTACATTAGACCATCCAAACCCATTGGTGCCTACTTCTCTCTGCATTTGGGTCCTCAAAACCTCCACCAAAGCTGACACTCCCTGAAAAGATGTTTGTATCATCTTCAAATAACACAAAATTAAGTGATTTGGAAACCTTACATATATAATTTATGTATAAGGTAAACAACGTTGGTCCTAATACTGAGCCTTGGGGAACACCACAAGCAATTAGGACTGGAAATTACCCAATTGCACAAATTGTTGCCTGTTGCTGAGATAGAAAAGAATAGAATGAAGATTTTTTTTTTTTTTGCAAAACTAATCCTCTTAGACCATAGTGCTCAAGTTTCTTGATGAGTATTTCATGATCAATTGTATTAAATGCTTTATTTAAGTTATAAATAACCCAGCAGGTAACCTGGTAACCTCTTCTATTAAATGAATAACAGCCATCTCTGGGGATCTTTGTGACCTAAGTCCATACTGACTCTCAGCGAGTAGTTGGGGTTTACTACAAGATCTATCCAATTTAGCAACAAATTTTTTCCCCCAAATTTTCGAGATTTGTGGAAGTGATGTCTATTCTTAGATTTCTTTAGTGGGATGACTTTTGCAATTTTCCATTTTTGTTGAAAAATACCTTTTTGAATTGACAAGTTACAAATATATATTAGCAGCTGAATAATTTCCATGATAACCTTCTTTTTTATTATTATTATTATTATTATTATTATTATTATTATTATTAATTTGTCAATTACATTGCAGTCAGTTTACCTTTTATTTTTCCATTTATTTACTTTATCATTTTTGTCCTTCCTCTGCTGTGAAACATAACATGATGGACTTTGGTTACACAGAGAGAGGAAAGGACCAAAAATGTGAAATTAAACTGTGCGTATAAGTAGGCCTTCAGTTGATTTTAAAATTCATTGACTCACATTCAGGTTGCTCAGTGGTGCAGTGGGTAGCACTGCTTCCTTGCAGCAAGAGGGTTCTGGGTTTGATTCCTGGCCTGGGATCTTTCTGCATGGAGTTTGCATGTTCTTACCTTACCATGCGTGGGTTCTCTCCGGGTACTCCACCTTCCTCCCGTAGTCCAAAAACATGATTGTTAGGTTAATTGGTTTCTCTAAATTATCTTTAGGTGTGAATGATTTTCCAGGGTGTACCCCGCCTCTTGCCTGTAGACAGCTGGAGATAGGCACCAGCACCCCTTGCGATAAGTGTGACCGAACATAGATGGATGTCTCACATTTTTTGGAAAGCCCTTTAAAAAGAATATTTGAAAAACTTGACTTGTTTTACATTACTAATTTATTTAATTCTGCTGTAACTATTATAACATGATTAGATAAACTCTATAGTGATAAAAGGTTCCTGAAAGCCTAGAAGTTTACCAGCAAATAGATGAATTAGATTTTTGAACAAACAAGGTTTTATTCAGTGTCGTCAATCACCCCCTGGTGGTCAATGCCTGTATTTCAGTTTTGCTTACTGAAGATAGTTATTGAAAGTGTGTTTGCCTGCATCCAAAACCCATAGCATGTATAAAAAAAAAAAAAAAAAAAAAAAAAAAAAAAAAAAAAGGGGTTTCACCAAAACCAAAAGCATGTCTGCAAATGTTCACATATCATCAATGGCATCAATTGCCATAAAAATATCAATCCTTAAACACCTCTTTTGACTGCTTTTTATTAATAAGCAAAAATCTATTCCTCAAATTGTTCATCTTCAACACACTTACCATAGTCTACACTTGTGCAATACCATTAGGATCTAAAATTGAATATATTTATAAGGTGAATGCCCAAAGGATTAAAACACTTTCCAATATACATATGCTAATTTATAAAGAGTATATTTTTGGTTCTAAGGCTTTATTTTATTTTTAACAAAGGGCAAAAAAGTTTACATTTTAAAAATAAGATTTCTCCACACAGAAAATACATCAATCAGATTTTTCTTATCATCATGCAAACAAAAATTACATTTTTTAACTTCTGTTAGAGGCTCCGTTTTCGTTTAGTTCTCACAGTGTCTAAAAAAAAAAATCGGTCGAAGTTACAAATAGATAAGAAACAAACTTCTAAGCTCCAAAAAGATATGATTAGTTTTTAAATAAGATAATCAATACAAACAGAAGGTTTCCGCAGTACCATATCACACATGTATATACATAGCCAATTTAGTGATGGATAATACATTTCTCAAAGCTGGAAGTTTTAATATTTGGAAAGAGAAAAACATATTTTTAAAATCTGATAATAAAAGATTTCAGTGCTTTAGTATTTAAGGTTTGCAGCGTTGTGATTGATTATATGCCGGTATGGTTTGATTTCCCTGAAAGTGTACAGGAACGCATTTACTGTTTATCTTATCACAAGCCACAGTTACATATTGATAACTTATGGTCAGCAACTTAACGCTACAATTGCTGATGGATACTCTTAAACCATAAAGCAAAAATGATGTGTTACTTGTGCATAAATTGCCTGTCTGCCACCAGCCAAAGCCATTGCAGATCTGTAGAATACGGGTTTCATCGCTTATCTCCACAAAGGACTGTATAGGTCGGTTACAGAGTCTCATTTGCTGCAAATAACTGAGAAAAGATCAGTTTAATGTTATTATGGACATTACATAAATCATCAAGTAGCTTAGCAAATTCAATGGTCAAAATTTAAAATGAAAAATTGCCAGCAGCTTAAAATTAAGAAAGAGAACTGAAAAAAATAACACCCCAAATCATTTATAACATTTACTTTAACTGCATTGTAATATTTACAGAGCTTACAGTGCACTAAATGTTGTAGATTGAAAATATAGTAAAAAGCTCATCAAATAAATAATTCAGTTAGAAATATATCCAAACAATTTTAGGAGGATAAATATTACTGGACATACAGCAATATACCCACAGCAAGAATGTAACCATGGTTTTAGAAAATGTATTAGGCTTTTTAGAACACATGACATTACTTACTTTTTCCAACCAGGCTTTGATAAGGCGTTAAAGGACATCTGAATTATGTGTTTGTCTCGAAAAGCTTGGTAGGCAATAGTGTTAAAGGTCCTCTGACATGGTTTAGAATTGTAGCTTACCAGCTCTAGCTCATCCTCTTTTTTAGCCAAAACCAGGGCATAGGAGCACATGAGACTAATAAACAAAGTTGCTCTCATCTTCTCTGGAGGGATAAAAAGACCTATAAAAAACACTGGAATTATTTCAGGTTCAAAACTTGTGAATACAGTAGGACACGCCATATAAATGGAGTATCATTAAAAAGGATGCAGAATGTAGAGTCTTGTTGAGCTTATTTGGGAAGAATGCTGGAGCAGAACCACAGCCTAATGTAATACTACAGTGAGACCCAAGAACTGGTCTAACCTGCGCCTTTGGAGACATTCTAGCTGCTCGAGAACATTTGTGATCTTATTTTCACTTCTTTTTTCTTTACTATCCTTTTCATTGTAAAAAAAAATATGTACAGCAAATGTTGCTCACTTTTGGAGAAAAGGTGTTGTGTCTAGAAATGTTCAAATCTGTTTTCCAAACAATACTTAAAAAAAAAGAACAATAATAGATACAGGCTGTATCCATTTAAAATACCTCAAACCTATTTTCTAATCAACTGAATCAATACAAATCCATTATGTAATTTTTTTTTTTGTGTTTTTAAACATTTAACTACATAAACAGGGTTTCAATTTGTCGGACAATCTTCGAGATAACATTTGAAAAGAATACAGAAAAAGGTGTCTTTAACATTATCACACTTTATAATATAAAACAAAAGAGATTCTGTGTGTTTCTTGTTCAGTTTTGATCGTCACAAAATATGCCATAGAATATTGTACTCTATGCGATACATATCTATAATTTGTATGGTATTTATAATCTATAACTTTGATTCTAATTAATATTCTTATCGGGTATTTTACGATTCTTCAACCACACCAGCAAAAGATTCAGACATTTTCTACATCTTGTTTTGTCCTTGCAGAGCTGTAGGGTTTCTGTCAAAGATAAAATTTTAAATTAATCTTGACATTTCCTCAAAAGAAAAGTTTGTTTATGGCTCTAAAACATAAATTCCCAGGGGATATTTACGACCCATTAGTTAAGATGTAAATTTCTTGGCTTGTGTGTGCAGTTTTTACATATTGGAGATGAAGGCATATGCTTTCCATTCTTAATATAACATTCATGATCTTATAGAGATGCATGTGTGATCAAAATAAGTATAAAACTCACAATGGTATAAACAACTTCCTTAAGTACTAAATGTTTATGATGATTTAATTTAAGATATTATAGAGTTATGTTTAACTACCTCAAAATGCCCTTGTCCTCATGAGTGTCGCCATTCTAGAACTTGTAGAAATGTGACCTGCTAAGTTTAATTTACTTATCTGAACCGATCCTATCATAATGCATGAGGCCATACATTCTGCGTTGACAAATAAGGAAGTTATACTTGTGGTTTGCTTAAACTCTTGGCTGTGCTTTAAACTTTGAACCTGAAAAACATCCAGATGTGTCTGTACATTCTGAAGATCCTGCTCTGTAGAACATGATTAATTATACTTTTCTTCTAAATAAAATAAGATGCTAAACCTGGTGGTCGTACTGTAAAACATACATCTGATCATTTTGATTACTTATTTTTGCACTGCCAATGATGAGAGCGATTTCAAGTCAAACAAACTTGTGCCCAATCAGTTTCCAAGGTAACTTTAATTTGGCTAATATTACAATGTTAATCGAAAATAACAAATTTAAACCTTTTTTCCTCATATATTTGTTAAAAATTGTCAAAATTTCCTGAAACCTCAAATGTTTGTTTTTGCAATTCAGTGATATTTATTTTGAGCTTCTATAACCAGCCTCATTTTCTCAACCTTCCACAATGTGGATTCCATAGGCAAGAGTTTACTCTAAAACAAGCAAGCAAGACAATGAATTGAATCTTCTTACCTGTTTGTGTTGTAGCAGGGGTACAGGTTTCCAAATCGCCGGCACTGCAACTTATAGCAACCATAAGCACTTCTTCCTCATTGCTGAAATTCTTAGTTATTGAATGTCAAACTTTTATTTTGTGGGTCAGTTCCTCTTGCATTTTTTACTAGTGTTTAAAAATCTAATTTCAGCCTCCAGAATATCTCAAAATGTATTGCGATCTTATTATTCAGTTCAGTGTCACTTCATCTTATTTATTTCTCAGCAGTGTGCTGTTACTCCCATAATGTATTTTTTAAGGAATATGAAGCTAGGAACTAAGATTTACACCCTTTTACTCACAAAGGAAAACCAAAGATCTTCCACGTCAGGGAGCAAATGATAATTACCTGTGGCAGCCCCTGAATATGGGAGTTGAACACAAACAGCCATTTTTCTAATAGCTTCCCTTGAATGCCCCAGAAGCAGATCCAGAGAATTGCATGAATTACTGATTCAAAACTGTTGTTGAGTCAAAGCTAAAAATGTGTTTCACTTGAGTGTCAAAAAACTTGGTAAACAAAAATACAATAATGTACACAAAATTTGATTAGTTAGGAAACTAATAGGAAACTAATGGGTAGGAAACCGATACTTAGCGTTCAAAGTATGTGATTAATCCAGAATTGTTTGGTAAGAAAATATAATTCTGTCAAATATTAAAACCAATGACAGTTTGCAGGGTTTACAGCTAAAAAAAAAAAATCATTCCAATAATTTTATACTAAAAAGAGAGTTTGAGAATAGTTTTATTTGGATCTCTAGTGTGCACTCTGTAAGATTGAGAGGCCGGATGAAGCTTTTAACAAGATAAGATAAAAAAACATGATCTAATGGTCCAATTTGACCCTAAAGAGGAAATTTAACAAAATAATGAAATGCAATAAGCAGTGTACAGGAAAGGAAACACATTTCTTTATCTGTAAAAATCTCAGAATACAATGGTATGAATAAAAATATAGAAACCCCCACACAATAGGGATGAAAGGTAGAGAACCTACGATTAACTTATGCCATTTAAAAGAATACCAACATAACAAAAAGTATAGAAAGTAATGATATCAAACATTCATACTGCTTCGTAGAACAGCTGCAAACAAATAGATAAAACGTAGATGTCAAATGAATCTGATAAATCCAGTTATATGAACAAAAACAGATGTCAAAACAGTTAGAAAAAAAGTGATACAGATAAACAAGTCTCATTATCTAACACATTTAATAATAATTGTTTTAAATGTATTTGTTTTTACCTGTGACATACAGTAAGTGACAAAAGAAGCTCATTTATGAGTCATGAGGGAACTTAAAACCAAAATTACCAGTTAGAAAAACCTGTTTAGATTTCACAAACTTCTTCAGGGAATTTCCTGAAACATCTGACCATGTGATGATGCATTCTTGTCATTCTGCCTGACTTGACATTATAGTTTTAAGTTTTTTTTTTCTTTAACCTTATTTTCTTCTATCTTTTCCCTGAGTTTCTGCTCTAAGAACTAAACTGGGAGAAAATTAAAATTCCTTGTGATTATTTTCAAAATTATTCTGCAAACAGGCATCAGTCATGCCACAGCTTCAATATTTACAGAACTACTACAGTCAATGCAGTTTGTCTGTGAAAATTCTGAGTCATCCATCAAAACTGTTTTAAATCAGAGGAAACTGAACTCTCGCTCAGGTTTTCTGAAAACGTTTCCAAACCTTTTCAGGATTCTCTGTGTGTTCTGAAGTTGATACTTCTACCCACTTTTAATGTTATCACTATTGACCTTTACTGTCATTAATTCAAAAATAAGTAAAGATGCTTCAATCAGCAAGATTTTGTCATGATGGGTACTCTAAGAGTGACCCAATTATGCAGAACACCACTGACGGACACAGGAATAAAAGTTCAACAAGTTTATTTTGACACAAGCACACAGAATGTACTGGTTCTGGCTCGGGCCTGGACACTGGTTCACCGGAGTCTGCGTGAGAGACAGTTCAGTTAGCGTTGCACGTTGGAGCGTGTTTTCTTGATGATAACTGATTGTACCTTGAGGGTTCTTGAGGTTAGCTTTGGAAGAGTCACTGTTGGATCTGGAGAGGAGTTGATCAGCAGAATCCGCTTGCTGCTTCAGCGTCTCAACGTCTACTAATGAACAGACCTTGGCATTGGGTTTTCCAGCTCTTAGTCCTGAGCTGCATGGAAGTTCTCTATGGTTCTTCGGGTTTGGCTCTGAGGGTCGGCTCGGCAGGTTAGCTCTTCCAGAGCTTCACAGAGGAGACACTGGTTTCCTGGAAAACAAAGACAACGGTTAGAATCCTGGCTGGATTCAAAGTCACAAGATACACAGAGAGTCTAGGCTTAGGCGCTGACCAACTGGATCAACACTGCGGCGTTGAGGCAAGGTCTGAAGACAGCTTATATAGTGGATCCTCTGATGATCTTGATGGGCTGCAGCTGTGCAGGAGGCTCCCTCAGAAGGATCCACGGCGGACTCTGCTGGAGAAAGGTGGAACTTCTCCAGCTCCCAACAGATTTCATGGTTGAAGTTAGCTTTAGCTTACTATTCTGAGTCTTGAACTTAAAGTTTTAAGTTCAAGACTCAGAAAAATTGGTAGGTCAGTTGGGCAAACTTAAGTGATTTGACTTAAGTTTTCCAATTAAAGCAATTCATTTAAGTTGGATTGTGTGTACATTAGTTATGCAACATATTAATGCTAATATTACATTCAACAACAACAAAATTATAAAGTTATATTAGTTAATGGTGGTTATAAGGATAGTTAAAAATAAGTTTTTTTGAATCAATTCAGAATTTAGAAAAACTGTTTGGTTTTTTTTGCACAAAGCCCTTCTGTTTCAGTTCAACCTCTGAATTTCTTTAGTTTAAATTATAAAGCATCCATAGATCAGCTGCAGTCTGTTCACCTGCTTAACTTTAATCTCTGCAAAGTAAAACCAGGAACCAAAGAATCTCAATTCAACTCTCATCTAAAAACATGAGTCACATTAATACTACAACATATTAACAAATAAAAACACATCACACATCTGTAAAAACTATTATTTAATGCAGTAGAAATGAAGGTTTTAAATAGTTTCATAATAAATAAATGTCATCTAAAGTGCAAGAAATGAACACATTATAAATATTTAATAAAAAGCATGTATTTAAAAAATGATGATGATGTTCGTTGGAATCAGGATTCTCTCTGGGATTTTGTTTTGTCTCAGATACAATATGATCTAAAAATGACTCCTATCTGCTCTTAATGCTCTTTCTTGGGGTCGAGTTTATTCAGGTTGCAGATCTTTGGATTTCATACTAACGTAGCTAAAGGCTGCAAACCATGATGATGCCAGATGCTCTCCAGGATGGAAAAGGATTTCAGAGGCAGAAGGTTTGATATGCTTCCATTCTTGGTGTGAAAAGAAAAGTCAAATATTACTTATAGTAAATAGTTGCATCCAGTGCACTGTTTTACAATGATAAAATTAAAAGTTAAAAAATAAAGCAAAATATAAGACTTGATTGTCTAAACTCAAGTACAATCAAAAAACATATTTGTTTCTCGATAAAACATTTGATTCAAAGTAAAAATATATATATATATATTCACACATCATTGCATTCTTAGATCGATTTTAGGAAGAGCAACACATCAGTAAGTGGCAGAAACTATTAATGCTGACTCAGCCATTCAGGAGTCGATAAACGCAGAGATAATAATGCAGAGATCACTTCTTGGTAATCACAAAAATTACAAATATTAAAAAGGAAACAAGCAGAATAATTTCTGGATCCAAACATCAGGACAGAGATCCTGTGGAAAATGATCTTCAATATCTGGAGCTAATGTGGATGGAAGAAGATCATCCTACTGGTTTATCATGATCCTCAAGACCCTTGCTTGTTATACGAAGTAACCTGGTTCATCTGTATCCATGGCAACTATAGGATTCAGAAAACACTAAATTCAACACACTAAATAAAAAAAACAACAAAATCAATCCATTAAAGACATTAAATAACACCCACCTTTGCATCTTCCTCCATGTAGTCTGGGGACAGCCCAAATGGCCAAACAAAGAACTACAATGACAGCAATGGCTGCCAGTAGAGCAGGTAGCTTAACCCCATTTTGGATGTGTCCAGGCTTTGGCGTTTCCACAGACGCAGAAATGTCTCCATTAGACGTTTTGGTCACGTTCAGGACAAAGTTTACTGCAGAAGAAAACAGTTATATGATAAAGCAGCAAGAATCAGATTAAATGTGTCAAAACTGCAGACTTACCTGAAGCCTTTAACTCCCATCTCTCTAACTTCTGGTTATAACCAGTAGCCAGATCACAGCGGTACGTCCCAGAGTCTTCAGTGCTGAGTCTGGACAGATGGAGTCTGAGACGTCCTTCTCTCAGAGCTTCTCTGTCACAATGAACCCGTCCTGCAAACCGCTCGTCTTGAAACTCTGTCACCTCAGCTCCATTAATGATCTCATAGAGAACTTTAGGACGACGCAAGAGGAGGAGGCAGATCATGTTGGTGAGAGACATGTCCGTTTGGGTCATGCTGTCCCAACTGAAGGTGATGTTGTCTTCTTCTTCAATCTCATGAGCAGGTGGTGTTTCATCGGTAATCCCTCCTTCGCAAGACAGAGATACATCAGCCATTTTTGCTTTTTTAACTACAATAAAGACATGAACAATTGTTTCTGAAGCTGAAAAGTCAAATTGACTCAGTTTTATTTTAAACTCAGAATAATGAGGCTAATTTCAATCAAAAGCTCAGCTTCATAGAGAGATTAAGCCAGACCTTAGTGTGAAAACAGCTAATTAGTTGAATTTTAACTTAGTTTCTGCTCCATAAATTAGATTATCCTAACAAAAACTATAATTACTACAGCAATGAAAAATGTCAGTATAAAACTCAGTATGAAATAAAGATAAACTCACCCTGAACAGTGGAGGTCAGGTGAAGAAGGAGAAAGAATAAGTTCATTTTCTTAATGTCAGAAGAACCAAAAGACTTTTTCTGTAAATTAAAGAGGAACATCTTTGTGTTATAGGAAGATTTATAATGTAATGTTGATAAAATTCATAAAAAGAGTTGAAAGTTATCATTTGTTCGACAACCAAAACAAATATAGTCTTAACATTAATAATTATTCAATAGAGTCAAGGAATTAAGCCACTTTTTAAATTAATCAGTCAAAAATCTTTCCTACATACATTCCCATTTATTTTCTTTTAATGATGAGAGAATTAAGAAAAGAAAAAAGAAACCTTCTTATATTTACTGAGCTAAAGAAATGAAACACTTTCATGAATTCTTAAGGCATAAAACTCGTAATTTATAAAAAGAGGATTAAGCCACTGGGTCCAAATGTTCAGATTAGCGCGGTCAGTTCAGTATTAGTCCTGCTTGGTCTCACATCTAAACTGGCTTTGTTTCTAAAAGTCGGCTATGTGAAATAATCTTAAATTTTTTCTTTTTATACATTGTAAATAAACAGGGAAATGTTTCATAATTTAGGGCCCACATTTACTAAAGCTATGAGCTTTAAAAAATGTAACTGTTTTTAGTCCCAATGGAGGAATACTTGAAGATTATGGAAAACTGCAGCTCAGATTGGTGTATTTTAATCAGTACACTATATAAACTAAATAACTAAACAAAAACAAAATGATTACTCTGATCAAATCATTCTCACAGAGACTATAATTAAATTATATCAGGGAAATGTTTATATTTTCCATTACCCACCAGCAGTTTTTCCAGGACAGATCAGAACTGTTGGATTCTTTCCCTTATTTTTGTGTTAGTCACCTCTGTCAGGACCGAAGCGCTTTTGCTTTTGTGCAAAAAAGCTGACAAACAGGTTATACTGGATTTCTTCGTCTCAATGCATCTCCTTCTCAGCTAGACTTGCAATGTTATGGTGTTATGATATGATGCTAATGTTATTTCTGGATTAAAGGGAGACGTTATTACAGATTAGAGAAAAACAAAAAGATTTGTTGAATAAATATATATTTTATGCGGTCATCAGGCTGAAACAGTTAATCAGATTTATATTATTTAGTCCATTATTGAAATAATCGTCAACTAATTTAGTAATCGGTTAGTCGTTAAATGGATTATAGAGTCTCTAAAACATGCCTTTAACTGACAGAGAAACCCACTTAGAGCAGTAATTATACCAAAATTGTAAAAAAAAAAAAAAAAAAAAAAACTAGAAAAATATTGCATTTAAGAATAACGAAAACTTTTTCGTCTGTCAATATGCTCTATCCAGAACTCCACAAGTGCAAACATTTTAATTTGACCTGGTTTAATATCTTAAAAAATCTTTAGGGACCCTTTGGCTATCCGACTATAAATCGATTAAATAATTGACAAATTCATCGATTTGCAAAATAGTCGTTAGTTGCAGCACTACTTCAGATGCATTTACATGTTGATTACATGTTTTAACTGTTTCAACCTGATTAGCGCTTAAAATATATGATTAATGTTCTTTTTAGAATTCTTAGATAAAAATATGATCATCTCAAACAACACCTGTTTTTTTTTTTCCTTTGTTTTTATGGTTAAATGAACGTAAAGCAACTTCATTATCTTTAAAATTATTTACAAATTAAACTAAAGCAGAAAAATTGTCATTACTTTGGCTTGTTACACTGTTAGGCTATTGTGCAATCAGTCATTGTTTGTAAACAGTAAAAGCACACGTTAATAAAAGACTGAAACATAATGACTCAGACTGTAAAGCTGACATATTAGCTTCAAATACTCACTGTTTGTAGATGAGCGGTGAGCTGTTCCTCTTTTCTGTGGTTTTACATTAAGTTTCCAGCTGCAGTGACGAAGATAAACAGTGATCACGGCTTTGACTAGTTCTGAATGAGGAAATCCCAGTAGATGTAGTGTTAGTTATTCAATTGTTGCATCAGATTTACACGTGACTGAGAAACCAAATAAGGAAACACTCACAGTTATTATTAGCTTCTGGTTAATAAAGTTCAAATCTCATGTTACAAACTCTATTGTTTAAATTATTTCATCAGATTTTTCAGTTTTAAAGGTGAAGAGTGAGAAAGACACCTCTTAGCGCAATGTTTGATGTTATTGTTTTTGAACATATCTAAATATTGAAAAAAAAGGAAAGAGAATGTCTTCATTTGTAAAGATGAGATGATTTTTTTTTTAACCATAGAATTTTGAACATCTCAGATATTAAAAAGTTTGAGTTTCATTAATTAAACTGATAATTACAGCCGTTTCAGTCATGATCAGATCCTACAGTCAAATTGGTTCAAAGTTTTCCTTAGATAGAAAACTTTGAACCGATCTGACTGGATGATCTGGTTGAACTGTAAAGTGCCTTGAGATGACGTGTTGTGGATTGGCGCTATAGAAATAAACTGAATTGAATTCAATGACTGTGTCCTACTTTTATCCTCAGACAGTCTGATCAAATCATTTTAATCATTTTAATTAATTTCCAGAATCTTTCTCCAAATTCATTAAGAATCTTTAAAAGAATTACCTGCTTACCATCAATGAAACTAATGGGATATTTTAAGCTGAATAAAATATGAAGCTTATTGATCATTTGTGCTGTAAATGTGTTTTATGAGCAGTGGGCTAGCATGGCCTAAGTTCAGTATCATGCTTTGGTGCATGAATGTATGAAACCTATAGCTTTCACATATCTATTGATAAATATCAATGTACCAATGTACGTTTATATGCACCTTATAGTGGCGAAAATACAGTAATAAAAAATTATATATTATCAGTTTTAGAACAATTAAGAAAATATTATTACAAGAACATAATAAAAAAAAATAAAGACAACATTAAATACATTTGGAATATCAACGGTGCAATCATAAAACAAAGCAAAGATAAGCCTTTTATTAGGGAACTGAGAATCATGATAAGAGTCAATGTTTCAATCATTGTTTTTATCATTTAGGATCAGAGGAATCCAAAGCTATTGCAAAATCACTCAGCACATTTCAGATCGTAAATAGCAATTATGTAGAAAGAAATATAATCAGGTAGAACAATACCAAGAATACAAAAAATGATGTAAATCTAGAGAACAACACAAAAGGAAACAAAGCAGACTTTAGAACTAAAAAAGTACAATTTAACAGAAACAAAAAGGTCCAGAAAGTAAGATGTTACAGTAACAAGGATATAAAGCACAACTAAATGTAAACTGAGAAACAGCAGGAGGAGTCATGTTCTTCACACAGGTTCTACTGACGCCTGTCGCTTAAAGTCTTTATGCTTCTACTGAATGTTTCTAAAGGAGAAAAAATTAGAAAACTTGAAGAGCTGACAGGAAATAAATGTGGGTTATGATGATTCACCTGCAGCAGCTTGTGAAACAGTCAACATGTCTTTTTGATGTATATACATATATAAATGTGTGTGTGTTTTATGAAAAATACATAACATTTTATAAACACTTATTATTATTTTTAGCCCAAAATAATGAACAAAATATTTGCCTCTAATAACGTATGTGTGTTTAAATACTAACTCTAATTCTCCTCTTGTTCTCACCAAGGTTAGGAAAGTACATGTGGTTAAAGATAAAAAGCCATGTTCTACATACGTGATATATTTCTGCTCAAAGCAGAAGAGACTTCAGGGTTCAGAAGAGGTTAGAAAAAGGTTAGGTAAGTTTGATCATCTGTTTGCATAGATTCTACTTAGATTGATAAAAGAAAATCTCTTGAGTAAAATATTTTAAGTAAGACATTTATTTATGAGAGTGTAATATATGATGTGATAAAAGTGCTAATGTTATCCTGAGTAGTTTGTTGAAAATTACACAAGGAAGAATTTGTAAGAGGTTTAAAACTGATATTCGAAAATGTTGGACCTGACTTACCTCAGAAAATACCTATAGGAAATGAGTAAACAAATAAGTTAATTAAGGGCAGCTATAATTCTATTTACTATTTATTGCTCCTGTCTATGATAAGATGATGATGGTGTTAGAGGTGTATGATATACACCATACAGTAGTTTATGAACAAAATGGCTTTCCATCACAAACGTTCTTTCTTAATCCAGTTGAAAATTCAGTTTTACGTCTCATTCTCCAATGGGATATTTGTCATAGTTTTTTTTTCAGAATCTAACCACTTAATCTATTTTGCACTGCGACAGAGAACGATTTGAGAGGTATATCATGATGGAAACAAAGACCTCAGAGCTGACTTATTCTGTGACTGATCTGACTTCCTCATTCTTCTGCAGTCTGGTCAGAGATGTGCAAAAAGCTGCTACCCTGACTGAACTCCCTCATTCGATTGTAGCAGAGAAACATTTCTCTGAGAGTGGATTAAAGATCCAGCGTTCACTGAAAGTGGATGGGAGCTGGAAAAGAACAGTCTGAAGATAACTATTACAACAAAAAAAACTTTACTTCTGCTTACATGTGATTAATGAACTGTAAAAGTAAAAAGAATGTAATGAATATTTAAGTCATTTCCAGGTTTTTCTCACATATTTTTTCAATTCATAAATTATAACAGATTGGTTTTACTCTGAAACATTTTGATGATCAAATAAATAAGTTTAGCAACTGCAGAGGATGGAGACGTGTTTTATAGCCACTAGGTGACAGTAATGGTCTTTTTTAAGAATAAATGTGTAGTTCTTTAAATATACAGTTGTGCTTGAAAGTTGACATACAATCCCATTAAAGACAGAATGCAATCAGCAAACAGTAAAGTAAATTGAATTGAATTGATGGAGCTCCTGACCAAAAACATTGTTGAGCAACATTATGAGGCAATGACGGACATAAGGTGTTTTCTGTAAAGTTCAGGAAATGTTCAGCTAGACTTCTGCACCTGTTGTCAGCTGTGTTGGTTCACTGTTCAGGAGCAAGGTACTTCAATTTCAGAGTCAAATTTTACTTGACTCAACTATCATTTAGTAACGTGAGTAGTGTGAGTTTATATTTTTCTTTATTGGGAGGGTATCTGTAGTTCAGAGGTTCCTTGTTGTCTGTCAGTGATGTTGGAGCTGATGTGTTGCTGACTCTCCTCCTCTGTCTCCTCTCAGAGGGAGAAGATGTTCTCCAGGATCCTGCTGCTCATCATCATCAACTCATGTCTCTGTGGTCAGTTTCCATCTTCTCTTTGTTCTAAATCCATCAATAATCAGTGAAAAGTCTGTCAGTGAAGGTAACACTTCAATCCTCCAGCTGCATTTGATCAAGCAGTTTGACTAGAAGAGAATCAAGTAGAGCTCTGACAGCACAGAGACCATCATGAGACAGAAACCTCTAGAGATGGAGTTTAAAGACTCCCATGTTCCAGTTCTCAGTGTGTCTGCTCCTCTCTTTCCCTCTCTGTCTCCTCAGCAGCAACATTTGTAGTGAATGTGACACAGAGCTCCTATCAGGCAGAGGAGAACCACAACATCACTCTGGAGTGGACCTTCACCACCAGACCCAACAGAACCTGGAAAGAACTGATTATTATCTGTGAACTATTTGCTCCTCCGAATTCCTCAGTCCTCTATCATGTCCATGATGGTGTTGAGGTGTCAGAGTCTCAGGATGAACAGTTTTCAGGACGAGTCCAGAGTGACAAAGACGTCCTCAGAGAAGGACGAATCAGACTCCATGTGTCCAGACTGAGGACTGAAGACTCTGGTCTCTATGTGTGTTCTGTGGAGACTGATGGTGGTTCTGGTTCTAGAGAATGTCAAGTCAATATAATCGGTAAGTTCTTTGGTATCAGCTGTTTATTTGATCTCTCTGCTGCCTCTTGTTTGGAAACATGATGCTTGTAAGATTATCTCAGGGGAACTTTGTTCCTTTCTGATAAAATCCAGATGTGTGTCCATCCTGGACAGTTGGTCCCAGAGACACTGAGGACACCAGATATGGACACACACACCCACACACACTTCATAGAGTCCAGTCAACCTAAGCTGCATGTTTCCAATGAAGGAAGCTGGAGTCTCTACACGTGTTCAGGGAGAACATGAACGCAGCACACAGAGAGGGATTTGAACCAAGGACCTTCTTGTTGCTAGGCAGCAGTGCTAACAGCTGCTCCAGCGTTCAGCCCTACAGAGAGTCAATGGGTCCATAAAAAGCCTCCATGTTCCAGTAGTTCTGCTAGAAGTGATGCTGTTGAGGTTTAATGTGTTTCAGAACCAAGTGTCTCTGGCTGATGTCCATCAATAATCAGTAAAAAGTCTGTCAGTGAAGGTAACACTTCAATCCTCCAGCTGCATTTCATCAAGCAGTTTGACTAGAGGAGAAGGACAAATCAAACAAATCAGACTATTTTCTGTATAAGTGTTGAGATATCTTACAAGCAGATTATCAATATATTAGGTTCCTATCCTGTCCGCAAGGCGTCCTCGTGGAAGATTAAGCATAACAAAGGTTCTGGAATTAGAAAGCACAACCATTGCTAAGTTTTTCAAAGCCTCTTCACATCATCCAAGAGGGACCGTAATTTAAGAGATCTACAGCAGATAATCTGTTGATCATAGTGATATTTATCTACTACATGAGAAGATGTCTCTAGAACTTTCATTTTGAAACCCTTTGCCGGTAGGAGCAGCCATCCATGTAGTAACACATTTTGCTCGATGCAGGGGGTGGAAATCCTGCCTACTCACAACTATGTTGACCTAAATATGCTGTGTGGACATTGTGGACAAGTCAAGCATAAAGCAAGCTTTAATCTCTTTTATGTTTTGTTCTTTCAGCAGCTGCTGGTGTCACCCAAACCAGACTAACGACTGCGCAAAGTATTGGTCTCATGTTTTTAACTGGATTTGCAACAGGAATAGCATCGGTGCTTCTCAATTGTCTCTTACGTTACTGTTTTCGCAATTATCCAAATGTGTCAAAGTATTGTTAAACAGTTTAACAGAACCA